CGCAGAACCCGGAGTTGGGAATTGATGAAAATGTGGACGAGGAGGTTTTGAGGCCAGTATTCCAAAATGGACCACGGGGTAGGAATACCACAAACTGGGTAGTTGAGGTGAACCCCAAGTATTATTGCAAATTTGAGAATACAACCCTCTATCTAGGGTTCATGAGATGTAGGACAAACGCATATGAGGAGGTAACACAGTGCCATATGTGCCTACGCCATGGGCATCCAGCGGCGAAGTGTTATGAAAAAGAGCAAGTTTGCTCCCATTGTGGGCGTAAGGGGCACAAGGCGTTGGACTGCCCGGCTGCTGAAGCGGATCCGGTATGTGTGAATTGTAGAGGAAAGCATAGTGCTAGGGACAAAACGTGCTCTGCCCGTACGGCGTTTTTTGGTGGCCCAGGTCAAGAGGACTGACTACGGGATAATGCAATGAGCGTGCACCCATCACTCAAGATCGTGCAACTAAATATGGGGAGGTCGTCAGGGGTCAGCGATCAACTTTTGGACTATTGCCAGAGGAAAGCGGTGGACGTAGCCATGGTACAAGAGCCGTACACAAACCGTGGGAAATTGACGGGGTTTGAAGTTGCCCCATTCAGGAGTTTCCTTTCAATGCCCACCCGTCGCCGAGGTAGAGTGGAATATTTGGATTATGGAGCGGCTATTATAGTTTTCAACCCTAATCTGGTGGTAGTCCCACGAGAGGCCGGTACAAAGGAAAACTTTGTATCCATCGATTTGGATTGCGAAACTGATGGTATGGTGACCCTGATCAGCGGCTACTTTAAGTACCGGGTGCCAACGGCAGTCCACGTTCCGGTACTGGAAGAACTTATACACGCGGCGACGGACAAGGTACTGGTGTCACTGGACGCTAATGCGTTCTCAAGACGATGGTTCAGCCGTGTAAATGATGCGAGGGGTGACACGCTGGTGGCGAGTATTGACGCAAATCAGTTGGAGATAGCAAACATGCCGAGTCCGTATACAACCTTCCATGGGCCGCGGGGAAGAAAAAATATTGATGTCACATTGGTGGACAGAGTGCTGGCACAAAAACTTTTGGGATGGACGGTTGTCCCCGGTGAGACATCCAGCGATCATCAGATAATTGAGTTTACCATTGACCTGCAACGCCGACAGTTCGTGCATCGTGCGACGAGGTATAATCTGGTTACGCAAAACTACCAAATGTTTCGGCTGGAGTATGAGAACCGCGACGCCCTGCGAGATGCAGTGAATAATTACCCAGAGGCGATGGCCCAGGAGATAGCGGATGATGTCACGGCGGCGGCAATGCAATACGTGCCTAAGAAAAGAATCCGGTTAAAGGTCACCCCACCTTGGTGGACCGAAGAGCTACAAGCAGCACGGAGAGCGGTAAGGGCGGCGGCCCGACGTATGTCAGCGGATGGCCATCGCCAGTTATATAATGCCAGACGCAATGAGTATACAACCTTGCTGAGGAGAAGCAAGCTACAATCGTGGAGAGCTTTTAGCACCACGGAGGGAGTGCAACCATGGGGAAGGTTGTATAGGTGGTTGAAAAATGGTAGCAAAAAGCAAACTAGCATTGGCCTGCTAGCAAAAGCGGATGGCACCCGGTGTAGGTCCCTTGACGAGTCGGTGGATCTTTTACTAAATACGCTGATCCCAAATGATCTGCAACAACAGCTGCAGGATGCGCTACCAAGAACAGGGTGTGACCTACAGCCTTTTGATGAACCCACAATCAGAGACTTTACATGGACCATGGCACCGAACAGGGCACCCGGCAAGGATGGCATCACGGGCAGAATGGTACGGGTACTGTGGCCACGACTCTCGGCTAGGGTTTTAGCCTTGGTTAACGCCTGCCTTCGTGATGCAGTTTTCCCAGCAATTTGGAAGTCGGCGGATGTTGTGCCGATACTGAAGGGCGAGAACAGGGATGTGACACAACCAAAGTCATACAGGCCGGTGAGCCTACTTCCAGTGGTGGGCAAAATAGTGGAAAAGGCCATGAACAGGCGGCTTCAGGACCAAATAGGCCGTCATCTCACGGGGAAACAATACGGTTTTACAAAGGGTAAATCTACATTGGATGCGGTGGACAATTTGTTGACGTGGAGTGCCATTAGACCGGAGAAATACGTAATGAGTGTATTCTTAGATATAACAGGGGCCTTTGATAATTTGGCATGGCCAGCCTTACAAACGGACCTCCATGACCTAGGTGTTACGCGCCATTTAAGGAAATGGATTGAGAGTTATCTGTTGGGACGAACGGCCACCATGACCATTGGAGGGGTCGTGAAAGCGGTTGCGGTCACGAAAGGATGTCCACAGGGATCGATCCTAGGTCCGATACTGTGGAATGTGACCATGGAGGCGCTATTGAGGGTCGGCTTCCCAGAGCATGTGGCCATACAGGCGTATGCGGACGACATCGCCATTAGCATTGCTGGCCAAACAAGAGCGGCTATAATACAACGCACTGAGGAGGCCCTGATACCAGTGCTGGAATGGGCAGCGGACAGGGGTCTTTCGTTTTCAGCAACGAAATCCCAAGCAATGATGACCAAGGGGGATCTTGTACCCGGATTCACAGTTGCGTTCGGGGAGGACAGGATAACGTCGGTGGACCATGTGAAATACCTAGGACTGTGGCTGGATCCAGGGAGGTCTTATAGGGTGCACGTTGATAAGATAACAGCCGCTGAGCACTCTTTGTTTTCCCGTCTGCGTTGAGCGGTGGGAGCGGGATGGGGCATTAGGCGCTCAAACCTTATGATCATGTACAGGGGCGTATTCCTGCCCAAAATCGCGTATGGCGTACGGTTTTGGAGTCATGCTTTGACAAATAGTGTTGTTGAGAGGAAAATGGGAACACTCCAGAGAAGAGCCCTAATAGGTATTACAGGCGCATACAGGAGTACGTCCACGGCGGCATTGCAGGTTCTCGCGGGCATACCGCCGCTAGATCTGGAGCTGGCATGGCTCGCCGCTAAGGAAGAGGCCAAGTTACTGCCAGAGATACACAGAGTAGAGACAATGAAAACGGCTACCACCGTTATGATGGATGCATGGCAGACACGATGGACGGCATCGCAGAAGGGGAGGTGGACCTTTGAGTGCTTCCCGGACATCAGGCGTCGTATGACGCTGCCTATTTCGCTGGGCCATGAGATTGCGCAATTTTTGACAGGGCATGGGAATTTTCAGGCCAAGTTATCGGAGTTGGGACTACGCCCGACCCCGCAATGTTCGTGCGGGAATGGTATTGAAGACGTAAGACACGTCATATATGACTGTGTTATACATAGCGCGCATCGAGCGCAAATGGAGCTGGCGGCTAATCGGGCGGGCTATCTATGGCCAACGCCGATTTGTGATTTGGTTACGCGCCGAGATACGTACGTTGAGCTGGTGAAGTTCGCCAAAGTGGCGGCATACTTGGAGAGGCCACTGCGGGCAGATTGAACAGGGCGGATAAGACACTCTGCGTGCCAGAGTGCCACACCCTGCATGCGTTCTGGACGAGTGTCGTGGATGAGAGCAAGGCAGAAGCGGTTCGCATGCGGGGCCGCCCTGAGGGGACACTCGTGCGTCGGGGACGCGGGCGGCGCTAACGCGGACAACAGAGTCGGACAAACCGGAGGCGCCGCGGTGACTGAAAGCTTCGGCGAGTAGGTCACACCTACATCGGGCCCTGTGTCTGGGGCCATGGAAGAATACAGCCACAGTATACCCCGCTTGTCGTACGAGGCGACTAAAGGGGTGGGGTTGCGACCTACGCACCACGGGCGAGCGCCCGGGGTAAAGGCCCACCAAGAGCCTGCTGAGCCAGCAAATCCTGGGAGACTGGGCTTGCCCATGTCGAACATCCAACCGATGATGTCCTTCCTAACGGGGGAGAGATCGGTACCACGGGAAGGGGGGGAGCCCCACTGTCCCGAGTTATGCCCGGGCCAGTGCCCTCCTACTCTGGGCGCGTGCCGGTTTGGTTTCGTGGTGGTTGTAGCGGGAGCTACTGTTTGGTTATAGCCAAAGCTGGCAGGTGAAGGTCTTCAGTGAATGGCTGTTCCGTCAAGGGGGTGAGAATTCCTTTGGCGTGGCAGTTTCTCCTGGGTACTCAGCCGGTCTACCGTTGGATACAATTAGCGGAGGTTGCCCGTAACCATAAACGGGAAGTGATGGGATAGGTCACGTCCTCACCAGAGGTGGTACTAGGTGGCTCCAGACCTGTGCCGTCTGGTACGGGGCTACGGCCCCGGTGCTGGTGGTCCATAGACGACACGCTTGGGCGGGGGCGCTTGCCACCCTCGCACAGGTGAACCTCTATGGCTCGTAACTAGTGCACAGCGCTAATACACGGTCCATAGTTGTAGCTGAAAGGCATTAAACCCTGGGACACTCATGTCCCTATCTACTATCTAGCGAAACCACAGCCAATGGAACGGGCTTGGAACCCGGACCAAGGCGGGCGGTTTCGGCCGTCCGTCTCCGGGCCGACCTTGAAATACCACTACTCGCATCGTTTCCCCACTTACTCGGTAGAGCGGAACGCGCGGTCCGGACGCGGGTGCGTTCGTCCTTCGGTCGTCGTCCCGTCGCGTCGTCGGTCTGCCGTCGGTTCGCCGGCGCGCTGCCGGCGCGCGGCGCGGTCGCCGTTCCGTCGGACTGTACCTATTTGATATAGGTAATAAGTAGAATTGTATTTTGTATTACAGACATATGGATATATATAAAAAAGATTTGTGTGGTAAAATTGTTACTGCGGCATGTTGCTTACATAATGTTTGTATGTCGGTGAAGGACAATTTTGACTGTGATCCAATATCAACAGGAATTGATTTTTTGGAATCCAATGAAGAAGAAGCTATAAGTAGTTTAGAAAAACGAAATATGTTATGTAATTTATTAGCAATCTAAATGTACATTAATACAAAAATAAGTTTCTTTACATCTATTTATGTGTGTGTTTATTTATTTTATATAGGTACCTAGATGTTAACATTAACCTAGATTAAACATTTGTTTAAAAAGTTCCAACTTTTGTAATTCTATTTTGTTGGCTTCACTCAACTTGCTTACAAGTTGTTCCTGTATCAGCAACATGGCTTCTTCTCTTTTTTCTAATTTGTCAAATCTAATTTGGAGGTATGCATAGAATAAGAAATCGCATTCCATGAATAATATCAAAAATATTAAGTCCTCTTACCGATCATTAAGTTGTGTTGCATTTTTATTAATTGCATCAAGTTGTTTATTTTTTAAACCTTCAAATTGTTGAAACCAAACGGGTGCTTTTGGCTGTGTGATTTTATCTATACATGATGTTGGTTTTTGTATTGAAGTAGAAGCTAAAACTTCATCTTGTGGTGTAGGAATCAATGTTGTACCAGAACTGGATGCCAATGGAACATCAGAAGATTCGTGTAATAAATCTACAACACAGAAAAATATTAAAAAATGTTTATTTATTTGTTGATATAACAAGCAGTAAAAAAGTGGATAAGTAGATAAAGCTCTGATGTACATTAATTACTGCAGGTTTTTATAGACTATTGTATACACTAATACGGATAGGTTAGAACACTAAGTACATACTTTTTTTACAGAGCAAAATTAGTAAAAGAAAAACATCTATGTTATGTTTATATAATAATAAAATACCTATAACTGTAGGGCTTTGATAACCAAAATTGGTGTTATTAAAAGGAATAAGTTGTTATTATTATTTATCTTGTGTTATATGTGTGCGATGGTTGATTATCTTTAATAATAGATTTAATTTTATACATATACATATTATAATAAAGTTTGGCGTTCATAAAGTAAATTAAAAGTTTGAACATTAAAATCTGTAGGTATATGATACATTTTTTGAATATAATCTTGATTTATTTAAAATAATTTTAAGTTAAGAATTTATAGTAATTTATAGAGCTAAAGCTAAAAAAACTAATCTTAAAGTTTATATATCTAAGATATTATGAAGTATTTTAAATTTATAAAATAATTTTCTTACTAAATTATTAACTAAATAGATAGGTTCCATAAGTTTGAGTCTATTATCAAAATTAATTCCTAGGTATTTTACATTTTAAACTCTCTCTCTAAAGGCATACATTTACATGGCACATTTAAATATATACAATTGTAAAAATGTATCCATAAAGAAAAGTCCACATTAAAATTAAAATTACTATTAAAGTTAATGATATTGAAAATAATATCTTTAGATTTAAGTACTTAAATTTAATTGTAGGTTCATAGGTGGATATTGGGGGGGCTTAAGCCCCCCCTGAATGTAACAAACTACACTAGATGCCAAATAAATTGTGCATTTTATTATACCTATATAAACTTGGTGCGTCTGCTATAATAAAGTAGGAGTACTGAGTAGCCACTAGTTAGTAGGTTGTAGCGTTTAAATGGATAAGACAAAAATGTTAATCCCCCCCACGGATGTGACCAAATATCCGCCTATGTGTAGGTTATTATTATCACACCATTCATTAATTAAATCAAGACAAATATTTGCTTCTTTAAATAGATTATTATAATTTTTATTTAATACTTGCACAACTGTATTGTCGGCTAAGCATAAAATATCAGCATTTAGGTTTATATTTAAAAGGCCATTAGTATAGATAATAAATAATATCGGTCCCAAAACAGTACTGAAAAACTATTTGTAGTTAGGTTAGGCTAGTTTTATTGCTAAAAATTCATTCAAGTCAAACTTGCTGAGGCCTATTAGAAATAAAAGATTTAATTAAATTTAAAGCTCTACCTCTTATGACTAGGGTTGCCACCTTTATAAGAAAGCAGCCCCGGAGACAGGCCGATAAGCAAAAAAAAAAAAAGGTCATTTAGTCATAAATGTGGTCATTAATGAATTACTTTTCAAATTCTGTGCAGTTTTATAATATCGATGCACGGTTACACTGACACAAAAATTAAAAGCAGATATTCGGATTCGATCAAACACACTCGACTGTGATGTTGAAACAGATTCGTAAAATCCTAATCGTAGACTCATAAAATCATAAACCGTAGTTCATAATCGTATTATTCTTGTTATCTTGAATAAATGGTTTTTATACCGGAAACCAATAAAAAAAAAAAGGCATAATAATAAAAAATCGTATGTTATCTTATCTTTATCTCTGACCCGGAGAATAATTCACTGAACCCGGAGCCCGTAGATTTATACGTAAACCCGGATCCCCGGATTTTACACATATATATAAATGTTAAGTCTCCCCCCCCCCCATAAACGAGTTCTGCGTAGTGCGTTACTGGTTAACACGGACAAGTTAACGAGTATAATATAGGTTACCGAAAAACACAATCAAATATTTCTATTTGTTGTTGTGCTAGAGTAGTCAATGTAGTTCTGTGATTAAAAAATACTAATAAATATAATATTTTGTATTTACCTTCATAACATGTACTATGACACCATTATGTCATCAATAAATATTATTTTCTATAGAGGTTATAATAGATATTAACGTAGAGTATCGGTTTTCAACTTTTATTAAACGTGTAATTATAAGATAACTAAAAAAACATGGTGTTGTCCGATTTTACCCCACATGTCCGAAGTCAACCCTTTTTACGGTAGTCATTAGTACAAGAATCTTTGGTTCGGATATTTTTAAGCCCCGCCCTCCTACGGACAAAGTCTGCGCACGCCTATGTAATAGTTTTTTTTTTTTTTATTTGAAGTAATCTATACAATCTCTACATGTTCTTAGTATAATAAGTAGGTTTGATAGGTGACAAGTAAGAATCATATAAATAAAAAGATTAGGGAAGATACCCAGAGGTAACACCCTATAATGTAATAGTTATCAAATAAAATTGTGTACCTATCAGAAAAAACTGTTTATATTATAACATAGATACAATATTACCTAAATATATTTGCTACTGTTTAAGTACTACAAAATATCGGTGTGTGTTTTTACTTTGATGCATTTAAGTATTTAACAAAAATGGATAATATTATAGTAGTTCCCAAATTTAGTGGCGAAATCTGGGGACGTGCCTTAGAGAATTAAATAACTTTAGCACCCTCAACATATTATGATCTCATTTAGGCTAATTATTGATTACTGTAAAAATGTCAGTTTGACATCAAACATATACACATTACATACATAGGTACATTTTGAAAATACTTACTAATTTACAGGAATCACTTGCAACTTGCAAGTTATTCTTGCATTTCATCATCTTTAGGGTGTTTCCTCTTCTTTGTTGCTCCCACCTTTACTATCTTAAGACCAATTATTGGTTTGTATTTATTGATAATCTCTCTTTTAGATTCCCGATCTTCCACTGGTAGTGCGTACACAAGCAGAGGTTTGCAGCTTTCACTGCAACGAATGCGTTTAGCACAAGCCCAACAGCACTCGTGCTCACAAATATCGTCCTTGCGAATCTATATTTTAAAATAAATATTAACGGTACATTGAAAGTTGACTTTGCGTGTGGGTATTCGGGAAAAAATAAAACAAAACTCTTACCTCAAATATGTGACTCGCACACATGAGACAATTATAACTCAATAAGTACAATTTCATTCCATTTAAGTTGTTTTGACTTAATTTTGCAAGAACTATGTCTCTTTGACTCGGAAACGTTGATTTTGATGTCTCTATAATGAATAATACAAAATAAGACATGGTTAGTCAAAAATAAAAATAAATTAACAAAAATAATGTAGCCTCGTCTCAGAACGTACCTTGCAAACTTTCAAGGTACTTGTACCAAGAGTTGTTAGCGTTTTCTTGACTCATTATTTGATCGTTGATACTTCTAATAGTAACCAAAAAAATAAATTATCGTTATTACTTGTATTACACGCTATATCAAAATTATATATATATATATTATGTGGATTCCAACACATCTAATATTAATTTACAGATTGATTAGCTTCTCTCATACATAATTTCGCAATGTACCTATTATATTATATGTATTATTATGATGTATATAATACAATGTGGATATACATTATGTTTACGATTATTTTGTAACATATTTTCGAATCCAATGTTCTCATAATTATATAATATTTTATATCGCAAATAATGAACACTTTTATTTATCTCAAAAATTAACTCCACAACAGATTATGCTCGCCCACCAAATTACTGCCAGAAGTCTACAAAACCCTGAATACTTTGGACAATAGATATTATATTATGTAAAAATAGATTTATTACAATTTACAAGTCACAGGAACGGAGTGTATACCTAACCTGAGTACTCTGATAGCATTTCGTCATTTTGATAAACATTTTTTAATTTTTTTAAAAACCTTGAACCTTCACTCGGAAGTAATATATTAGGTAATGTACTGAAATGTCATCAATGGTCGGTATCCCCCCTAAATTATATAGCTAAACTAAGTTCTGTTATTACTTAAGCTAATTTCACAAAAACTGTAATTATTGTTTTTGTTTAATTCGAAAAGTAAATATAATATATTATTTTTTAAAAAGGTATGTATTGTCTTATTATAATGACTAGACCACCATTTTATTTGTAAATTATGATAAAATCATTAAATAAAATGTATAACAAAACTGTTAAATATATCTGCTTTAAACAAGTTACCCGGTATACTATCGATCTGCGGTGGATTCAAATAGCGCGCGAAACAAAATCCGACCGTGCAAAATCCAAAGACGTCCTTTTCTCCAAATATAGAACGCCGATACAACAACTACAGCCAATACACAACAAGAGCTGGCTGATTTCTAATGTAATATACTAATATATCGTACGGTAGAACAAGTGTCGCGTACGCGCCGAGGGGTGCCGGTTCGGAACTGTAATGCAAACAGTGCTGGCAACGTGAAACGAGCGTCCCCCAGCAGCTCGCCATATTTATAAGAGGCAAATGCGGGGGGGTATCCATTGCAATCGAGAGTTTACAGCGCCATCTGTATAAAACCCGACTGAGATACAAAATGTGAATAAAATAAAACCAGTGGCAGCGTTGAAAACGTTCGATTATGAGTGTCGATGATAAGTGATAACAGTGAGTGAGTGAGTAAAGTTGAACACATAATAATAATATTGTATTTATCAGCCATATTTTTCTCACAATATTGGTACAATTGTGACAGCGGTTGTCAGTCAGCGCGCAGACGCGGCTATTTTCTCCTTATTTAAATACTGTCTGATTTTTTTCCCCCTTTGGGCTGTACTCATAACGCAATAAACGCTACGCAAAGGCTTACGCTGGCTGTCGCAGATTTTTGATTCCTGATCAAACAAACGACTTGACCGATTTTCGATTGCTGACATTATATTATGTGAGTACTACTTTATATTAATTATTTTGGTAACTAATAACTAGGTATTTAATATAATATGAGTGAGCAATTTCATAGAGTTTCAAATTTGGGGATGGGGACCGTAAATTCGTTTAAGCAAACCCGTCAGGAAATATGCCCGGGCACATACCAGTTATGACACAGAATTCAAGTTTATTTAAATAAAAGTCATGC